CACAACGTCTTTGTTTGTATGCGGTGCTGAAGATCGAACCCGGGCTGCACGCATGCCAGGCGAGCGCGCTACTGCTTGAGCCACATCCCCAGCCCTGGCAAAATTTTTAAATGTTTTAATTAAGAAACACAAAGTGCTTCTATTCAAGTGTAGGTCCTTTGTTCATTAGAGAGAGAGAGAGAGAGAGAGAGAGAGAGAGAGAGAGAGCGCTTTATGTTTCATAAGCTTTGTCAAAACAATCTGGTCAAGATTGAATATGTTTATAGGGTAGTACTAGAATCAAAGTGGCCACATATTAAATATTGTAGGTTTTTGGGTGTGTGTGTGCATGTGTGTGGTACTAGGGAGTAAACCTTATGAGTGCTAGGCAAGCACTCCACCAGAGCTATATCCCCAGCCATTTTAAAAAATAGTATTTTGAGGGCTGGGGCTGTGGCTCAAGTGGTAGCACACTTGCCTAGCATGCATGAGGCACTGGGTTCGATTCTCAGCACCACATAAAAACAAAATAAAGATTTTGTGTCCACCTAAAACTAAAAAATAAATTTAAAAAAAATAGTATTTTAAGACAGGGTCTTGCTAAATTGCCCAGGCTGGCCTCAAACTTGCAATCCTCCTGACTCGGCCTCCTAAGTAGCTAGGATTACAAGTGTGCTACTGCTCCCAGTGCTTCTAGTTCTTTTAAAGGGAATTTTGTGTTAGGAACTAGGACAGTTTAGCCAGCATATAAATTGGGTAGCATATATCTTAAAGGATGTGCCCTTTTTTAGTAAGTAGAGAAAACTTGAAAATGTAATTCCAAGACTTGTGTAACTTAATCACTCCATTAAAAACTGTGAGAATAACTGCTATGTAAAAGAATATAAAACATGCTCTACAATGTGAAGGCAGAAAAATACAACTAAGTGTTATAGCAGAGACTCAAGAAGTGCTCTGTCCTAGCTCTTCAGGAGCCAGACAGGGTTTCCAGAAGAGGAGGCTGGGATGATTCTTCCTGAAGAAGAGACAGCTAGGGTGTGGGGAGAGTCCAGGTTCTGAAAGGGGTCACCAGCAAGATGAGGATGTGAGAATAAGTGTGGAGCAAAGCTACCTAGTGGGTTGTAGGTGCCCTTGTTTAGCCTTTCCTAGGAATAGCCATGGGAAAGAGCAGAGGCTCTGGGACAAGATATATCTGATTTTAAATTCTGATCTTTTTTAAAAAAAATATTTTTAGTTGTTTTTTTTTTTTTTTTTTTTTTTTTTTTTTTTTTTAAAGAGAGAGTGAGAGAGGAGAGAGAGAGAGAGAGAATTTTTTTAATATTTATTTTTTAGTTATCGGCGGATACAACATCTTTGTTTTGTATGTGGTGCTGAGGATCGAACCCGGGCCGCACGGATGCCAGGCGAGCGCGCTACCACTTGAGCCACATCCCCAGCCCTATTTTTAGTTGTTGATGCATCTTTATTTATTTATATGCAGTACTGAGAATCGAACCCAGTGCCTCACAAAAGCTAGGCAGGCTCTCTACCACTGAGCTACAATCCCAGCCTTAAATTTCTGATCTTTATGAAATTTGAGGCAAGATTCTTAGGCTACCTAAGCCTCAGAGTCACCAACCTCAAATTAGAAGTAAAATATAGCTGACTATGGAGATGAAGTACCTGACCCATATATTTTGCGCACTAAGGAAACAGCGGTTTCCTTCTCTTGCTTCTTTTAGGTGACTCTGGCGCCAGCTGGCGGACCAATGAGTGATGGCATCCCTGATACAAGACCGTGAGTACCCTTTCAGGAGAAGAGGGCTTAGGAAGAAGCCCAGAAAAGGAAAGGAGACTGGACCCCTGTTCTAGAGCTCCTTCTGGGCCCTCTCCCCTCTCCACTGGCTATCTCTCCCTGCTTTTCTTGTCCCAGGGCTGACCACTGATCAGGACCTGCTGCAAATGCAAGAAGGCACACTGATGCGCAAGGTGAGATCGAAAAGCTGGAAGAAGCCAAGATACTTCAGACTTCAGAATGATGGCATGACAGTCTGGCATGCTCGTCAGGCTAGGGGCAGTGAAAAGCCCACCTGTGAGTGACCTGGATAGCTGCGGGTGGGCACAAGGGTGGAAGGTCCCAGAGGAACCTGGCAGCCTGAGGGTAGGGGAGATACCAGAGTCTTACAATAGTATGCCCTTGTGCTGTCCCACTGTGGCTGTATCTGAGCCTGTGCAAGGAGATCATAGATAATATTTGCTCCTGTAAGGCTGTTATGGAGGATTAAATTAGTTTTTGCAGGGCTAGGATTGTGGCTCAGGAGCAGAGTGCTTGACTCACATGTGTGAGGCACTGGGTTCTATTCTTAGCACCACATAAAAATAAATAAATAAATAAATAAAGGTATTGGGTCCATCTACAACTAAAAAACTATTTTAAAAAAATTAATATTGCATATAAAGGACTTGAGTCTTGGCACACTAAGTAAGACTCAATAAGTCATAGGCTATATCTTTTTTATTATTGTTATTATAAGACCATGACCTTAGGCATCAGCCTGCCTGAATTAAAATCCTAGCTCTTCTACTTTCTAAAGGAGTGGCTTCGGACAACTTACTTAATTAAACTGAGCTTCTGTTTCTCATCTGTAAAATGAGTATTAAGCAATACCTGCCCACAGGTGCAGTGGTATACACTATAATCCCAGTGGTTTAGGAGGCTCAAACAGGAGGATCATTAGTTCAAAGTCAGCCTCAGCAACTTAGCGAGGCCCTAAAAAATCTCTGTGAAATTCTTTCTCTAAATAAAATGTATAAGGGGGCTGGGGGAGCCAGAGTTTTGGGCTCAGTGGTAGAGCGCTTGCCTAGCATGCAGGAGGCACTGGGTTCGATCCCTGGCACCACATAAAAAAAAAAATAAACAAATAAAATAAAGGTATTCTGTCCATCTACAATAAAAAATATAAAAAAGGGGGGGCTGGGGATGTGGCTCAGTGGTTAAGTGACCCTGGTTCGATCTCCCGTACAAAAAAAAAACAGTACCTACCTACTAGGTTACAGAGACTCAATGAGTTGATTTGTAAAGCACATACCTAGCACAGGATCTGAAACCAGGATGCATTTAATAAATGTTAGCCATTATGGTATTTTTTAAAAAATATTTTTATTAGTTGTTCATGGACTTTTATTTTATTTACTTATTTATATGCGTTGCTGAGAATCAAACCCAGTGCCTCACACATGCTAGACAAGTGCTCTACCACTTAGCCACAACCCCAGCTCCATTATGGTACTTTTTAGTTTTTAGTATCTATTTATTTATTTGTTTATCTTTAAATATTTATTTTGTAGTTGTAGTTGAATACAATACCTTTATTTATTTATCTTTATGTAGTGCTGAGGATCGAACCCAGGACCTCATACGTGCCAAGCGAGCACTCTACCACTGAGCCATAATCCCAGCCCCAGTATTTATTTCTTAGTTGTAGTTGGAAATAATACCTTTGTTTCACTTATTCATTTTTATGTGGTGCTGAGGATCGAACCTAGGGTCTCACATGTGTGAGGCAAGCGCTCTACCACTGAGCCACAATGCCCCCATTATGTATTTTTAAAACATAAAAAAACATATCAAAGTTGGATGTGGTGGGGCACACCTATAATCCTACCCACTCAGGGGGCTGAGACAGAAGGATCACAAGTTCAAGGCCAGTCTGAGCAAATTGGTGAGACCCTGTCTCAAAATAAAAAAGAGAAAGCATGGAGGTATAACTCAGTGGTAGAGCACCCCTGGGATCAATCCCCAGTACTGAAGAAAAAAATAACAGTGTTCATCCTATTGGCCAAGCTCTTTGTGATGCCTCTAAAAAAAGAAAAACAATATTTTCTTTTTTTAGAAAATCCCTTTTACCAGGGATTGACCCCAAAGTCACTTAATCACTGATCTACATTCCTAGCCTTTTTTGTTTTATTTTATTTTTTTGTTTTGAGTCAGGGTCTTACTAGATGGCTTACAACCTCACTAAGTTGCTAACGCTGGCTTTGAATCTGTGATCCTCCTGCCTCAGCCTCCTGAGCTGCTGAGATTATAGGCATGCACCACTGCACCTGGCATATCACTATAAATTTGATCATAGGATACATTTAAGAGAGTCTGCTTTAGAGACATAATTAAAGTTCACAGTCCTCACCACCCCTTCCATAAAAGGAGTGGAAGAATTTTTTTTTTTTTACTCCCTCCAGACATCTGGAAAGAAGAAACCCTCAAATCTGAATGTGAGCATGAGCTGCTTTGTTGTAACTGCTTTTCAGCGTGTTCTCGTTTATCATTCCTGCCAGTCCTCCTATGATCACTATTTAGACTGACCATGGAAAGGACTATTCTTATTTAAGATGAGGACACTGAAGAATTAAGTTGTTTTGATCTGTGTCACTCTGCTAACTTTGTGACTGGAAATTACATCTTGCTGTCCATAGCACAGGTCCCTTGCCCAGCTGCCTATAGAAACAAACTGCAGTGATTCACATGGGCTCTGGAACCCTACTATGTCTCTCTGTACTACACCTTTTGGGACTCAGTCTGCAGAGACTGGAGTTCCTCCTTTCTATGTTTTCATGAAGAAGTAGGCACTGGTCCTTGCCCCTTAGCCCCTACAATTTATTGGACCCCTTTCTCAGTGCTCCCACCTGCTTCTTTGGCAGTCTCAATCTCCGATGTGGAGACAGTGCGTAAAGGTCATGATTCTGAGTTGCTGCGCAGCCTGGCAGATGAGTTCCCCCTGGAGCAGGGCTTCACCATTGTCTTCCATGGCCGCCGTCCCAACCTGGATCTGATTGCCAACAGTGTTAAGGAGGCCCAGAACTGGATGTGTGGACTCCAGCTTTTGGTGGACCTTGTTACCAGCATGGACCAAAAGGAGCGGCTGGACCAGTATCAACAAGTTGGAGTCAGGGTGGGGACTGGGAATCACTGAAGAAGCCAGATATTACAGAGCTAGGGAAGATGGGAAGGGGTGAGGGATAGGAAAGCTAAAGGGTCCAGATTGTATGGGCTGAGACATCTTAGGTTAAGTGTAACTGAGGATTCTGAAGGAGAAATGAATGCTAGGGATGGCACAGAGTTTGGCATGAATGAGGACTTGTAGGATTTGGAGGAAGGGACAGTGAGAGACAGAGGTGCAAATAAGGCACTGCTCCTGAAAGCTGAACAGAAGATCCAAAAGCATTTACTACCATAGGGATACCATAGTTATTGGACAGGAAGCCATTTCTTAGAGGGCTCAATGATATAGACAACTTCTAGATTGCTGGATTGTACACCAGTTCACTTATTCATTCATTAATCACTTATTAAACAGAATGTTTCAGGAACTATACAAAGCTTTAGGGTTCCAAATATTAATGAGATACAGATATTGCTTCAGTTAGTGGAGAGGAGGATATAAATAATCTAAGTTCCAAAGAATTGTCGTTCTTAGATGATTTGTATGTATTCAAAGGAAGGATATTTCATTCTACTTAAGAGTGTATTGATAAAGCTTCAGGGAATAAAGAGTTTGTGAGCTGGGTCTGAAAAATGGAAGAATTGGAACATGATGAGTGGAGGAGGGAAAGGCACTTCTGCCTGGGTGAACAGAATGAGTAAAGGTCTGGAGATAGGAAATTGAGGAGCAAGAGAGAAAGTTGAGAGCAGGGAGTTGCTGAGTCTAGCTATAAAGTGCAAGGAAGACAGAGATATATTGAACAGGCTGTGTTGTATAAGATCCAAGGGGTGAAGGGAATCTTAATTTCTATGTTAAGGAATTTGAGTTTCTTTCTTCAGGCAGCAGAGAGGTCCCTGCAGGTACCTGAGCCATTCAGTGACAAGATAGATTGTTGGTCTGGAGAGATTATTCTAAAGCTGTGTGGGGAATGGATTGGCATGGGACTGGCAACAAAGACAGGGGAGGGATGTCAATGGATAAACATGCACATACTTCTGGACACACAAACACATACATACAGTGCTTTTGCCTTGACTCAGACCTGGATGGTTGAGTGATTTGTTCCAGCGTGGAGACAAAAACCAAGATGGTCGGATGACTTTCGAAGAAGTTCGGCGGTTGTTGCGTCTGATGAATGTGGAAATGGACCAAGAATATGCCTTTGGTCTTTTTCAGGTGAGTCTGCAGAGGAAGAATTTGCAGGAGCCAACCATCTACATGCAGGCATCTGACGCCAGTCAGCAACATTCATTTGTTGAATCCCTACTGTGTGCCCTAGCATCATGACAGGCTCAGTGGAAAGTGTAGGGAATGATTCTTACCATTTAGTCTTGTTGGAAAGATGAGTCATAATTCCATGAAAGGTAAATAACAATATGTGATTAAGTTGACCTCAAGGACCTCCCTGTTTGTGGCCAGAATTTCATAGGTGCCTAGAACAAACCCCAACTGGAATATGAGTAATAGAAGGAAGTATATCCTGACCTAGGGAGCTTTGGGAAGAAGAACTCTTTTTGGTTGAAATTTTCTCTACTAGCAAATGATATAGCTGCAAGTTTGCTTTTTTCTTACTGAAGTGACTTCTATGAACACAAGATGTCAGGGGTTCTGTGGAGTTTTATGGAAGCATCTTTGAATATATGTGTCAATGAGATGTCCTTAAGAACAAGTGAAGGTCATAAATTTTCCCACTGAAATGTCTGTCCACTCTCTCCTAAACCTGTTGCAGGAAGCAGACATGTCCAATTCTGGGACTCTAGAAGGAGAAGAATTTGTATATTTCTATCAGGCATTGACAAAGCGCACTGAGGTGCATGAAATGTTTGAACAATTTTCTGATGATGGGCAGAAACTGACCCTGCTGGAATTTGTGGATTTCCTTCGAGAGGAGCAGAAAGAAAGAGAGCGAGCCACTGACCTTGCTCTGGAACTCATTGACCGCTATGAGCCTTCAGAAAGTGGTAAGGGAAACTAGGTGTACAGAGGTACCAGCCATGGTGTGAGGGGGACAGGCCATGATTATAAAGATCCAGAGACAGTCTTTTGATTAATTTATGGGAGACTGAGTCCATCCCTATTCTGGTCCTCTGCCCAATCATCTCATTTAACTGTTCCTCTAGAAGAGGCGAACAGCCATTCCCTGCCTGGATAAGACAGGTATCTTCTCTCAGGAGGAAGATTAAATTCCCCTATGCTCACATTTCATATTCTTTACATTCAGAAAATCCTTCTTGATATCAACTTTGTCCTTAGTGGCAACAGAAAACTCCTAGTGCTCTTGCTTTGGCCTTTTCTTTATGCAAATTATACTTTTTCCTCCAGTTCCCCTTCATGGTTCCTATCTGCTGTCCCATTAAATCCTGGCTTTTTGTCCTTTCCTTGGATTTCTTCAAATTCTCCAAGTGTTCTTGAATCTCTAAGTCCCTCTATGAAAAATCTAGACAGCTCTGGGCAGGGGCATGAAGAAGAAGCAAATAATTTAGCATTTAACAAGTGCAGCTAAAATACACCTTCTTAATCCTTGAACTTTCTTTGACTTTGTCTCTAGACTTGTTTCTATCCTTCCATTCCTTTCAGAGTGAGAAATTTACATTAACAGCAAATTATTTACAAGGCACTTTCTCATTCACTTAATTTAGTTCTCACTACAACTTATAATTCAATGGCTATACTCTTTATTGGGTCTTTGGTAAGTATTCCATAATTTGCTAATATCGCTACATACCTTTTCTCTTCTAATCCTTAATCCTCTGTTAGAATGTATTCTATTATTAAATCAGTTTTATAAAAAGGAAAGTTGAGGTTTAGAAAGATTAAATGACTGGGCTGGGGTTGTAGCTTAGTGGAAAAGCACCATCTAGCCCTTGTGAGGCACTGGGTTTGATCCTCAGCACCATATAAAAATACATTACAAAAAAAAAAAAAAAATATATATATATATATATATATATATATATAGAGAGAGAGAGAGAGAGAGAGAGAGATTAAACAATTTACTTCAAGTCAACAGGTAATGAGAAAAGAATTGGAATTCAACCCAGGTCAATTTTTAATTAGTGCCTCTCTAGAAAATAAGGAAGAGATAAGTTGATTGAGAGCCAAAGTAATCCAGGTTTCCTGAGTCTCAACTCTACCTTGTTTAATCATATATTCACCACTTCAGATAATGCTTATCAAGTACCTGTAAATGTAACAGGACCTACACTGCGTATCAAAGATAATTGGCACTTAGATTAGACAAGAACACTGTCCTCATGGAACTTAAACAATGTTAGAATATCAGTGATCCCAGATTCGTATGGTAGTTTAGAGAAGAACAAGAGTTGTAAAGCAATAATTTCAGAAAATAAAATTGAAGAAGGATGTCATAGGATTAAGAAATAGGATATTCTGTTCTCAGTGCAGGATCTAGTATACTTCAATTACTTAGGGTTTGAATGTGTCCCCCAAAGTACCCGTGATGGGAACTTAAACTCCAACACAACAGTGTTGAGAGGTGGGACTTAAAAATTGATCAAATTGGGCTGGGGCTGTGGCTCAGTGGTAATGCACTTGCCTGGCATGTGTGAGGCACTGGGTTCGATTCTTAGCACCATATGTAAATAAATAAAAATAAAGATCTATCAACAACTAAAAAAAATTGATCAAATCATAGCCAGATATGGTGGCACTGCACCTTGTAATCCCAGTTACTTAAGAGACTGAGGCAGAAGGACAGTAAGCCTTGGCAACTTAGCCAGAACCTGTCTCAAAAAAATAAAAAATAAAAAAGGCTGGGAATGTAACTCAGATAGAGTACCCCTGCGTTCAATCCCTAATACCACACACACACACACAAAAAAAATATTACTAATTCATGCTGGGTGCGTATAATCCTATAATCCCAGCAATTTGGGAGACTGAGACAGGAGGATAGCAAGTTCAAGGCCAGCCTCAGCAACTTAGCAAGATTATTATTATTAACTTAGTGAGAACCTGTTTCAAAATTAAAAATAAAAAGGGCTGGGGATTGGCTCAGTGGTTAAGTGCTCCTGGTTCAATCCCTAGTACCCCCCCCCAAAAAAAATTACTAATTCATGAGATAAGCCCCTTTCCCCTCTCTTGCTCTCCCATGTGTTCTCTTGTCTTTCCACCTTCTGCCATGGGATGACAGCAAGAAGACACTCACCAGATGCAGGCCCCTCAACCTTGGACTTCTCATTTCTTCTAGAATTGTAAGAAATAAATCTTTATAAATTAATTATCTTTATTAATTTATAAATTAATTACCCAGTGTGCTTTATACATTAATTACCCAGTCTGTGGTATTCTGCAATAGCAGTATAAAATAGACTAAGACAATATTTACTCTATTTCCTACCACTCCCAGTAGTCCCTCCCCTTTCACTTGACAATTAGATACTATATTCTGGTTGCTGAGTGTATTATTAGTCAATTGTGCTCAAGTCCCTACTCTGCTTCTAATTGACTGAGTAACCTTGAGCAAGTCACTTAACCTATCTGAGACTCAATTTCCTCATTTATAAAATAAGCGATCAAATAAAAAGATGCACATGCAAAGTATCTAGCAACCATGGACTTACCTGAGCAATTGGATTATCAATGGCAAAAATGAAACTTCCTGCCCAACATCCTACCATTCTCTACTGCCTAAGGCCTTGTCAAACCTGGAGCAAAGAAGCTGAGAATGTCAGTCAGGTTGTTTAACTTTCAAGGGCACCTCTCTGCAGCAGCATTATCCTCAGTAACATTGCATAGCCCAGTGGTACAGGACAAAACTCTGACTCCTGGCTGCGTGGATATAAATTCCAGTCCCTCCACTTACCAGTATGCGACTGCGACTAGTTTTCTAACTTCTCATAGCAGATCATATTGTGTTGTGAGAACATTAAGTGAGATACTGCATGTAATGTCCTTGGCATAGAGCAAATGCTCAATCTTAACAGTTAACAAGTTGCTATTGTATGATGCCCATGCTGAGACGGGTGAGAGTTACAGAAGGAGAAACAGGGCCCTTTCCTCAACAAGAGGGTAGTTTAAGGCAATGTTGACAAATGCTCCCCAAAATACCACTTGGGAGTGTTGACAGTAGAAAGAACCCCTCAGATCATAAGTAACATAGGAAGAAAACACAGGTACCTTGGCCATGTCACTAACAACCTTCTTTGTGATTCTCACTAGACTTTGATTATAAAATTAAATCTTTAATTTTATATTTAAAATCATAAATTTTAAAAACCATCTATAAAATTAAATCTTTGGACTGGACACTGTGCTGTCCATTATGGCAACTGTGAGTTTCTTGTGACGATACATTTAAATTAGCTAATATTAAATAAAATTAAAAATTTAGTGCCTCAGTCAAACAAGTCACATTTTCAAGTGCTCACAGCCACATGTATATAAAGGCTACAATATTCAACACCATAGAATAGAACACTTTTATTACTGTGAAAGTTATATTAGATAGCACTGGACTTAAAATGATCTTTTTCTTCTTCTTGGCCCTGGGGATTGAACCCCCAGGGGCACTTAGCCACTGAGCTACATCACCAGTTCTTTTTTATAAAAGTAATATTCTCACCAGCCAGACCGAAAACCTCTTTTTTTTAAAAAAAAAAAACCTTTGTTTATTTATTGTGTGGTGCTGAGGATCAAACTCAGTGCCTCACATGTGCTAGGCAAGTATTCTACTCCTGAGCTACAACTCCAGCTTCATCCCCAGTCCTTTTTGCTTTTTATTTTAAGACAGGTTCTCACTAAGTTGCTTGGGACCTTGCTAAATTGCTGAGGCTGGCACTGAACTTATGATCCTCTTGTTTCAGCCTCCTGAGTCTCTGGGACTCATAGTGTACCACCATGCCCAGCTAGACTAGAATAATTGTAATGGCTCTCTTTAATAATCTCTGAGGGTGGGTGGGGGTGATTGAAATGACACACACTGGGTGGGGCAAGTTGGGGATCTGGAAGCTGGGATCCGGAACCATCTGAAAGACAAGACCCCATAGGGAGTGGGATGGAGGATGGTCTGTAGGTATGCCGAGGGGCTCCCCTGCAGAGCAGCTCACTCTAGCATTTCCCATTCCACACTGTAGGCAAACTGCGGCATGTGCTGAGCTTGGATGGCTTCCTCAGCTACCTCTGCTCAAAGGATGGAGACATCTTCAACCCGGCCTGCCTTCCCATCTACCAGGATATGACTCAACCTCTGACCCACTACTTCATTAGCTCCTCTCACAATACTTATCTCGTTGGGGACCAACTTTGTGGCCAGAGCAGCGTCGAGGGATATATACGGTGCAGTGGTAGTAGAGAAAGGGTCCAGCTCATTAGAGGGACCATCTGTGGGAAATTGGGCGGTAGTGAGTGAATAACAGGGATTGAAGAGATATTTTTGTAGTGCTTTCAACACTTTGATATTGGGGGGAACTGGGACTGAGGAACCCTGGATACCTGAGACATTTGAAGAAGATATTGAAGACTGATGGGAGAATGGTAAAGAAACCCTATGGGTAAATGAGATTTCTCTCTTTCCTGAGCTATGAAACTCTTGGAACTCAGAGCTAACAAATATTTTGAACAAACAAGCAAAATGTTAAAGAGAAAGTAGTACAGCATAGGAGTTAAAATCATGGGTGCAGCCAGGCATGTGGTGCACTCTTGTAATCCCAGTGACTCGGGAGGCTGAGATACAAAGTTTGCAAGTTCAAGGCTAGTCTTAGCAACTTAGCAAGACCCTAAGCAACTTAGACCCTATCTCAAAACATAAAAAGGGCTGTGGCTATGGTTCAGTGGTAAAGCGCCCTTGGATTCAATCCCTAGTTCCAAAAAAAAAAGGTCGGTTCTGGAGTCAGACGGGTGGATGTCAAAGCCTAGCTTCCTCACTTGGTACTATCTATATCTTGGGATCCCTATCTATGAAATAGGGAGATAACAGTACCTGTTCTTTTCAGGTTGTAGTGGAGATTAAATGAGATAATCCATGTGTCAATAGCTAATAGGTGGTAGCTGCCTTTATTGATTTACCATGGATTAGATTGAATAGTCAAGACGTTTTTAGTGCTAGCAACTCAACTAGTAGCTTCAAGGGATATGAAAATGAGCGGAACTTTTACTCAAAATTAAGTGAAACTTCCAAGTGGTAGAACACATTCTTGGCATGTGTGAGGCCCTGTGTTCAATCCCTATCACCAGAGAGAGACAGAGAGGAAGAAATTAAATGTAAATATGCAGAAAGCTTAACTAACCCAAGTGTTGTATAGGGATATACAACCAGAATACCAGGAGTATCATGAAGTAATGTGTGATAGGTGGCTAAAAAGAATTGTGAGTGGGGTGGGGTGGGTGTAAGAGCTGCAGCCATCCTCAAGCAGACAGAGAAGCATCCAAGAATACTTGGATAGCTTGAGGGGCTGGGGTTGTAGCTCAGTAGTAGAATGCTTGTTTGGCCTGTGTGAGGCACTGGGTTTGATCCTCAGCACCACATAAAAATAAATAAAATAAAGCTGTCCATCTACAACTAAAATAAATAAACACACACACACACACACACAGTGTACATAGTTTGAAGAGGTGTGGATGGGTAAGTGCTGATGAGCATTGATCTCTCCACATTGGGGAGAGGGTCAGAACTTGACCTCTTCTGCTTCTGGGGTTGGGGTTCTTGCAGGGCCCTGAAACGAGGGTGCCGCTGTGTGGAGGTAGATGTATGGGATGGACCTAACGGGGAACCCATTGTTTATCACGGACACACCCTGACTTCCCGAATCCTGTTCAAAGATGTTGTGGCCACAGTTAAACAATATGCCTTCCAGGTAGTAGCCCCAGGCTGGGAAGAGGGCTGAGACAAAAGAGCCTAAGGGAAAAGTGACTGGCTCTGGTTCTGGGGAGGGTGAAGGGGTGCTGGGAAGGTTATTGCAAATGCCATGATATATGTAAGAGAGGTTTTTAACTCTAGAGCACTGGGCAGATATTAAGGGATTATTATGAATAAGTGTTGGATGTGTTACTAATAACCAGTAGTCATAGTGGTACTAACCACTCTCCCATCTGGGAGAGACTAGATAAAGAAACAAACAGTATCAAGTAAGGTTGGGAAACACTAGGAATCTGGAGATGAAGTCTAAGAATATAAAGACCTGGTCCTCCCCTTCTGATCCTAAAAACTCAAAAGGTCTCAGAGGACCTGAGTCAGACTTGGCACAGGTATGAAATTGGGGATCCCAAAAAATGACCTTTAGATGTGGATCTTGTCCCTGTGGGTGGGCCCCAGACCCAGCAAATTCTCACTGAGCTCTATAATGGGGTTGGAGGAATTTAACAATCAGGGTACTAATTTGAGTAAATAGAGGGTGGGCTAGGAACTCAAATGTCTGGAACAGGAGGGTATAGGGTTTTAGAACTCTGATGTAGCATGCCCCCCCCCACACCCAACAGGCATCAGAATATCCACTCATCTTGTCCCTGGAGAACCACTGCACCTGGGAGCAGCAGCTGACCATGGTACGCCATCTGACTGAGATCCTGGACGATCAGCTGCTGAGTTCCACCTTGGATGGGCTGCTACCCACTCAGCTTCCCTCACCTGAGGTAAGGACCTGGTATCCCCTGACAGGCTTTACTGTGGCTTCTGCATTCCTTCACCTTGACTTCTTCCTTCATGTCCCTCTTGTTTACATCTTTCTATCCCAAATGAGCCATCTTGCTCTTTAATATGCAACTTTAATTTTGAAAGATCTAATTGAACACAGAATTCCATTTACAGTTCTCTAAGTTTTAAATCAACTATTTACTTTTTATTTAATTTTCTTTTTTAAAAAAACATTTATTTTTTAGTTATAGTTGGACACAATACCTTTATTTCACTTATTTATTTATATGTGATGCTGAGGATCGAACCCAGGTCTCACACGTGCAAGGCGATCACTCTACTGCTGAGCCACAACCCCAGCCCTTTATTTAATTTTCAATGGAAATGTATTATTTTTCCGGATAGTTGACAGTTGGTGTAGACTATACAGACAATACAGAGAAAGGGAAATCTTTCCATCATAATCCCAACTTTTTCCATAATAACACCTATCAATAATTTGGGGTTTTTTTGGTACTGGGGATTTAACCAAGGTCTCACACATACTAAGCCCCTGCTTTACTGCAGAGCTATACCCTCAGCCCCTAGAATACATTTTTAAATGCTTATATAAAAAATATATATATATATATATATATATATATATATACATATTCACACTTTTTGTCATTTTGGGGGTACCAGGGATTGAACCCAGGGGTGCTTAACCACTGAGCAATATCCCCAGCCCTTTTTGTGTTTCAAGACGGGGCCTTGCTAAATTGCTGAGGCTACCTTTGAACTTGTGATCCTCCTGTTTCAGCCATATGAGCCACCAGGATTATAGGCAAGCACCCCAGAACCTGGCTATGTTCACATAGACACGAAGAAAAAAAAATGAGGTTGTTTTCCATATCCTTTTCCTTTTCTTTTTCGTACCAGGTATTGCACCCAGAGGTGTTGAACCAGCAAACCACATCTCCAGCCCTTTTTAATATTTTATTTAGAGACAGGGTCTCGCTGAGTTGCTGAGGCTTATTTTGAACTCATGAACCTCCTGACTTAGCCTTCCTAGCTGCTGGGATTACAGGCATGTGCCACCAACCCAGCTTCCATAACCTTTTTATATGTGAAATATATATCATGGATGTCTGTTCTTGTAAAAAATTTTTCCTTTTTAATAGTTCTACAGAATTCCATTTTATGTCACGAAGGAGAATTATTCAACCAGTTGCACATTTGGCAGTGATTTTCTACTTGTACCTACAGCTTTTTCCATTGATTCTTTATTATGGATTCCTTGAGGCAAAAAATGTCAAAATAAAAACTCTCTGGGTTAAAGAGTTTTTATTTTGACATTTTTGATTATTATTGCAAGTTGCCCTTGGGAAAAAATACCAAATTATACTCCAACCAACAGGGGAGAGTAACTACAAACAACAGTGAGATGATTGATAATGGCAAATACTGAAAAAAGATCGTTTTTTTAAAAGTCCATATTTTCTTTTCTTGAATTATCTGACAATTTGTTTACCCAATTTTATTAGGGTTTATAATTTTTATTGATATTGTAATGATTCCTATGTGTTAAAGATATTAATGGTTTGAGAAATACTTTGTTGTCTATTTTTGCTTTTGTCTTTTAGCATGTTTTTCCTTACAAAAGTTTTTAAGACTTATGTAGCCATACCTGTCAATATTTTAGATATCCTCTGAGTTTTCTTTTTTTTTTATTATTTTTTACTTATAGGTGGACACATATCTTTATTTTATTTTTTTTTATGTGGTGCTGAGGATTGAACCCAGGGCCTAGCGCATGCTAGGTGAGCGCTCTACCTCTGAGCCACAATTCCAGCCCCATCTTCTGAGTTTTCATATCATGTTTCTAAAGTCTTTTCCATTATGAGATTATTCAAAAAAATTCTCTATTCAAGAAAATTCTGGCCGGGTGCAGTGGTGCATGCCTGTAATCCCAGGGGTTTGGGAGGCGGAGGCAGGAGGATCACAAATTCAAAGCTAGCCTCAGCAATTTAGTGAGGCTCTAAGCAACTCAGTAAGACCCTGTCTCTAAATAAAATACAAACTAGGAGGCTAGGGTTGTGGCTCAGTGGTACAGCGACCCCCTAGTGGGTGAGAGGCCCTGGGTTTGGATCCTCAGCACCACATAAAAAAAATAAATAAATAAAAACAAAGGTATTGTGTACAACTAAAAGAAATAAATATTTTTTAAAAATACAAACTAGGGCTAGGAATGTGTTCAGTAGTCGAGTGCCTCTGAGTTCAATCCCTGGTACCACCATCCCTCTCCCCCCAAAAAAGATTCTTGTGGGCATGATGGTGCATGCCTGTAATCCCAGCAACTCAGGAGGCTGAGGCAGGGAGGACTGAAGTTGAAATCCAACCTCAGCAACTTAGTGAGGCCCTAAGCAACTCAGTGAGACCCTGTCTCTAAATAAAATATAAAAAATAGGGTTGGAGGGCTGGGGATGTGGCTCAAGCGGTAGCGCGCTCACCTGGCATGCGTGCGGCCTGGGTTCGATCCTCAGTACCACATACAAATAAAGATGTTGTGTCCGCTGAAAACTAAAAAATAAATATTAAAAAAAAATAGGGTTGGAGATGTGATTTAATGGTTAAGCACTCCTGGGTTCAATCCCTGATACCAAAAAAAAAAAAAAAAAAGATTGTTTTCCTCTCATACTTTTATGTTCTTTATATTTTTTGTACTTTTTTTTTCTTTTGTACTGGTGATTGATTCCAGGGGTGCTTAAGCACTGAGCCACATCCCTAGCCTCCCCTCCCCCCTTTTTTTTAATTTATAGAAAGGGTCTCACTGAGTTGCTTAGGGGCCTCACTAAACTGCTGAGGCTAGATTCCAACTCACGATCATCCTGCTTCAGCCAATGGGATTACTGGTGTGCACCATAGCCTTTTATATATGTAAATCTTGACTAAGAGGATAAAAACTCTTAGTGTTTCAGATGTGAGGTAGAAGCCTACATTTATTTACCTATCTTTCATATGGCTACAGATGTTACAAATTTGTTTAACGATAAGGGAATCCCTCTGGTATGTATTAAGCAATCAATTTCTTCATGGGGGAACTTCCTACTATTCACTGCCTTTGAGGGCAGCAGGAACTGCAAGATTCCCAGGAACAGACAGGTAGACATCTTTCTTCATTTTTGTTCCCTAGCAGCTTAAAGGGAAGATCTTAGTGAAGGGGAAGAAGTTAGGAACACTTGAGGATGATCTTGAAGATGAGGAAGAAGTGACAGAACCCCAGCTGGAGAGACAGCAGGGGTCAGAACTGCCATTGGGGTCCCCCTCCGAGCCTGTGACACTGGAGCTGAGCCACCTGAATAAGGACAAAAAGAAGGTAGGCCAGGAGTGGTCTTTCTGTGGTGGCATTTGGTTAGCGTGCTTCACAAGCTGAAGGCTAATTTGTGAAGATAAGAGCCTGGCAGGGTGGAGGGCCAAGGAGAAAAATAACCCTTCCTCCCAAGAAAAGAGGTATAATAATGCATAGATGGCATCACTGTGTGGGATACATCACCAAATAAAGATACACTGCAGTGGCTTTCCAACTTTTCTGGGCCATGAAAAATTTTTTTTAATGAAATCTTATATGGAAACTCAGTATACAAAATAGATAAACAGAACCATTCTAACTGAACCCCTCATTTGGCTCTCTCATGGATCCCTTAGATGACTCTAGACCTTTCTCAATCTCCTTAAAGTCCAGTTTGAAAACCACTGTGTGTATGTGTGTGTATTTAGGACTATTAGGTTGGCTAAATAGGGATTAGTGGAATGATTACAATGACTTTAACTCCAGTGGGCTTAGAGAAAGCTTCTTATAATGGGTGGAATTTGAGTTTGAAGTACGGCCAGAAATGGCCAAAGGTTTGGAGAGGGGAAGGTGAAAGCTTTAAGAAAGTTTTGCCAGTGTGGTCCATATCCCTATGGGGAAGGGCAAGGCTAAGGGAGAAGGGGTGCCATTGGTGGGACCTCTGAGATCTGGGTTTGAAGTCTGCATTTCTCTCTTGTGGGCTTGCTTGGCCCGCTCAGCTGACTTCTAGCTTTCCTGTTCTCTCTGGGACTGTGATGTTTAACTTGCCACCATGTCCAGGGATGGAAATGGGAATTCAGGAGACAAGTCCTGTGATGTTACTCTACGACCCTCACATCTGACCAGGAGCAAATTCCACAATCATTTGCATACCTTGACATACCTCTCTGGATTCATGTACATTTTGTTGTTTTTGTTTCTGTGGTACTGGAGATTGAATCCAGGGGAGCTCTACCACTGAGCTACATCCCCAGTCCTCCCCCATCCCCCCGCCCCAGGCAGGGTCTTACTAAGTGGCTAAGGCTGGCCTTGGACTTGTGATCCTCCTGTCTCAGCCTCCCAGGTAGCTGGGATTAAAGGCATGCATCACCATACCCAGCATGAATTCATGTACATATATATTTTAAATTATTTTTTAGTTGTAGTTGTACATAATACCTTTATTTTATTTATTTATTTTTATGTGGTGCTAAGGATCGAACCCAGGGCCTTGCACATGCGAGGCAAGCGCTCTACCACTGAGCCACAACCCCAGCCCGAATTCATGTATTTTTTGATCAAGATTATTGTTCATTTGTTTTCAAACAAGAGAGAGGTAGGGAAGATAACACATCTCTGTTTAAAAATAATGATAAAGACCTGTTATCCTAGATATAACATAGAATGGACTCTCCAAGCCCAGCAGCTGAAATTAATCCCAGCAGTATATGCAGACTGCCTTTATTCCCATCCCCACCCCCAGGTTGTGATGTGCCCGCTGTTTTGTCCGCCTATCTGTTGTCACATTGTGGCCCAGGCTTCTAATATCAATCTTGGGTCCCTTCTCTTGCTTGAGCAGGTGAGGCAGGAGGGAGAATACAGTGGGGAGGCAATGGGCAGAGGTGTAGATTGGATGGAGGGCCATTAGCTTCTTCCCTCTCAAGCTGATGAGGATTCAATTCCTCTCCACTTTTTCCTCCAGAAATCCAGGTCCGTCTTGTGTCCAGCCCTCTCTGCCCTGGTTGTCTACCTGAAGTCTGTCTCATTCCGCAGCTTCACCCATTCAAAGGAGAACTACCACTTCTATGAGATATCGTCCTTCTCTGAAACCAAGGCCAAAAGCCTTGTCAAGGAGGCTGGTTAGGACCAAAATGGAAGGACAGGGAGGGAAGCGCGGGATGGGTAGCTTCAGACTTATGGGCAGGGATATGGTGGTAAGTCCCAAGTAAGAGGACAAGGGAGCTCAAGAGAGATGATGGAGTTAAGAAAATTATCACAGCAGGCAAAGGGAAGGGAGTTAGGAATAGTGAGCACAAGGCTGATGACACTGGGGGAAGGGGACATTGAGCTTTAGATGTTGGGGAAAAGAGTGAAGTGAGTGGGCAGGGTCCTTGGGGCCAGGGAATTGGCAGGAGCTACCCCACTTCCATCTTCCTCCTTCTTTCTTTTACAGGCAATGAGTTTGTGCAGCACAATGCCTGGCAGTTAAGCCGTGTGTATCCCAGTGGTCTGAGGACAGACTCATCCAACTACAACCCCCAGGAACTCTGGAATGTAGGCTGCCAAATGGGTGAGGAGGCAGCAGAGACAGGAGGTGGGACTACAGGAGTGGGTGGAGGGAGATAAGTTCCCTAATGGAAGCAGGGCCAGGGGGAATGACCTTGAATGCTAGGTGAGGAAAAGGCTACCTATCTTTGAAGATGTTCCCGGCAGGCACTCTTATACCCAATACCTGTCTTATTCCCTTGGAAGAGAACCTGGAAGTCTTCTGAGATGAATCTTTCCCTTCTTTTCTCCTGGGACCTCAGTGGCTATGAATATGCAGACTGCAGGGCTTGAAATGGACATCTGTGATGGGCTCTTCCGCCAGAATAGTGGCTGTGGCTATGTGCTAAAGCCAGATTTCCTGCGTGATATCCAGAGTTCCTTCAACCCGGAGAAACCCCTCAGTCCTTTCAAGGCCCAGACTCTTTTGGTCCAGGTATGATGGGAAGAGAAGCTGTTGAAAAGAACCTGGGATAACTGGGATAGAAGTGGGGGAAGATATGGCTAGGCCTGACAAGAGCATAATTGGCTGAAAATTCCTTGTGAGATGCAGAATAACCTGATTGCTAACAAGACATTGGAGCCAACTGCCTAGCTTAAAATCTACTTCCTAGTTGTATAATACTGGGCAAGTTTGTTAGCCCATCTGTACTTCAGTTTACTCACCAGTAAAATAGGAATGATACTACTGCCTACCTCACAGGATTGTGAGGATTGCAGGAGTTATTAAGGTCAAGTGCTTACACCGCCTGGTACACAGGAAGTGCTACAGAAAAGGCTGCTGTCATTAGCATGTCTACTTTCAAACCTCTTAAATTTCAACTTTGTGCATTTAAAATTGCAGAAAGGGCTGTGTATGCCTGTAACCCCAGTGACTTAAGAGGCTGAGATAGGATTACAAGTTTGAAGCCAGGCTCACCAAGTTAGAAAGAAAGACTTATCTCAAAAAATAAGGGCTGGGGATGTATCTGAGTGGTAGGGCATTCCTGGATAATCCCCAGTACAATAAATAAGTGGATAAAATTGCAGATAGACTATAGAGGAAAATATGTTGCTTGCAGAGGATTAGTTTTGCAAACTGAAAAGCTAGTGCAAGGTCCCTTGTCCTCTCCTCTGGGGCGTCAGAGATTGGGGGGTGGGTTGGGCTAGGTAGGCACTCATGAGGTTCCAGTGCCCTGGTTGCAGGTTATCAGTGGTCAGCAACTCCCCAAAGTGAACAACACCAAAGAGAGGTCCATTGTGGACCCACTGGTGAGAGTGGAGATCTATGGCATCCGTCCAGACACAACCTGCCAGGAGACCAACTATGTGGAGAACAATGGTGAGACAGCAGTGCTGGGGAAAGAGGTGGTAGGAGTATAACTGTTGGTTCCCTTCCATACTGTCATGTCACCACCCACCCCTACCTCCACCCCTATAGCAGAAGGGCAGTATGGAATAGTACAAGGAATCCTGGCCTTCCATAGCTTCCAGTTACTTGGGAAAATTGCTTACACATTTTGAACCTGTTTCTTCACCTATATAATGCTGATTGACATCTAGATTAAGTGAGAATACAGGTAAAAAGGTGTGGGCTAAGAGAAGCTGGGCATGGTGGTGCATGCCTGTAATTCCAGCAACTTGGGAGGCTGAGGCAGGAGGATCTCAAGTTTGAGGCCTGCCTTAGCAACTTAGCAAGACCCTATCTCAAGAAAAAAAAAAAAAAGGGTAGAGGGTTAGGGATGTAGCTCAGTGGTAGAATGCCCCTGGGTTCAATCCCTAGTACTACTAAGGAAAAAAAAAAGTAAAACGTGTTTCATTCCTTCTTACCCGCCACCTCAGGTTTTAATCCCTACTGGGGTCAGACACTGTGCTTCCGGGTGCTGGTACCTGAACTTGCTATGCTGCGTTTTGTGGTTCAGGATTATGACTGGAAATCCCGAAATGACTTTATTGGTCAATATACCCTGCCATGGACCTGCATGAAACAAGGTGAGACAGTCCTTGGATCCCTGGCCAACACCCTGGCTCTGGCTGCCTCCCTAATGTTGTTGTCCTGCCCCTTTCCAGGTTACCGCCACATACACCTGCTCTCTAAAGATGGCATCAGCATCCACCCAGCTTCCATTTTTGTGTACATCTGCATCCGGGAAATGGAAGAGCTTCAACCTGGGGAGTCTGAATTCTGAGGTGGGTATTTTATAGTGTGGATGGGTATACTGGCTTTAGAGGGTGAAAGAACAACCTGGATGCTCCAGAAAGCAATTAGAAAAGGTGAAAATCTTTGGATTGTGCATTCCAGGCATATTACCTTGCCCTTCCTAACATGCAAATCTAGAACCTGACTTTTCACCTTTTTTTCTCTCCCTTTGTTTTCATGTCATTGGTATCTTTCCTGCCTTTTCTCCTTGTGTAGTCTATACTGGAGTTCCCTCCTTCCTCTTGCTGTAGGCTCAGTCCCATACTCAGATCTACTACTAATCTCTCCCATCAACTCTGGCACGAAAGCAAATTGCAACTAGAAACTCAGAGAGGGGCTTGGAGCAAAGAAACTTACAGAAGTATTATACCTTTAACTTCCTCAAAGCCCTGAGTCAAGGGAAGGATAAATCAAGGCTCCTCAGGCAAAGGCTGAGGAAGGAGACCTGACCCTAGGACTGTACCATGACTCTCCAGAGAACAGCACACAGCCATGTCCCCACTGGGTTGCACCTCTCCAGTCCCCCTGGTGTAAATAGAGCTTCTCTCTCCAATTTGGCTCTGGTATGGTTATTGGGCAAGGGGAGGCATAAGGGTTGGGGGGACATTTGGGTAGTCGGATGGGTCAGAGAAAAGAAAACCAAGCTTTCCGGGGACATTCCTGCATGTGCTGAATAGGAAGGACACAAAAGAGAGGCTTCTGAGAAGTAGGGCAAAAGGAGACAAAGGTTTATGTGATCTGGCCCTCCTGGAAAGTTTGCCTAAAACAGTCCTGGTTTATAATCTGTTGAGTCCCAGAATAAATATTAATGGCATCTTCTTTGATTTTCCCAGAGTGTCTCAGTTCAGATGATCAAATACATAGTGAAGTAATTACACTGTGAGAATTCTGAATGAGAGATTTACCTTCCCAATCACCTGCCTTTTTACAGTGCCTTTGTGCTTTCCCTCATAAGTGCAGTTGTGGGCCAGTCTAAGGATTTATGTTGAATTAAAGCTGCTTCCAAGAGGAGGCTTAGTGAGTGACAATCCTCCCTCTATACAAGCGGAAAGAGGGGCTTGGAAATAGGGAGAAAGTGAAAACATCAGGACAGGCTTAAGGACAGAGAAGGCAGACTTGGTTCTGTTTCAGAACCTGTTTCCGACTGAATTCAGAAGAGATAAAGGAGGAGCAGAGGTCTAAGAGGGGACAGGGCAGATCAAGATCATAGCCTAGAAATGCCAAATCAGGAGTTTGGATGAGTCTATAAGTTGGCAGTCATTCTGTTTGACATGCTTTATAGAGCATCAGGCATAATAGCACATGCAGTTAGATACAACTGTTTTGAAGGTGCTGAAAGAAAATAGGATTTGATACAGTAAGAAGAGAAGACAGAGTGGATAAAACCAAGATCTTATAGCCAGGGTCTCTAAGAAACTAGAAATTCACAGGTTAAAAACACTGCGCACTTCAAGAAGAAATCACTGTTTTGGTCCATGTCTCTCTCTCATATAGCTGTTCATTTCAAAGTACTATGTCCAGAGTCCTGGGGGTGGGGATAGGGGGTGGTTTCCAGTCGCACTGACACCGCAAAGCCAGTCCTTTCTTAGGCCCTGAGCTCCTCAGGCTAACTCTGGTCCCAGTATGCACACCTCTTACCACACTTTCTTCCTGTCTTAGTGGTAGCAGGCTCTCAGCCCTCAGGTCCAGTGGGAGGAGCAGCAGGAGCTGGAGGGCTGGGATCCTCCAGCTTTACATCATGTAGGTGCACTGTGGGAGTGGTGGGGTCTTTGCCCACACCCTGGTTTGGGTCAGCCTGCTCAGGGTGGTGCCTGCGCACGTGCTTGACCACCTGGAATTTCTGCTTGGCCTTGTAGCTGCAGAGGCGGCAGAAGAAGGGGTGGCGGTCTGTGTGGGTAAGGGCGTGATGGCGCAGGCCAGCAGCCCAGCGGAAAGCACGGTGGCACACATTGCACACGTAGGGTTTGGCCTCACTGTGCTTGCGAAGGTGGGTGCGCAGCAAGAAGCGCGTCTTGAAGGCCTTGCCACACTGCTCACACATGAAAGCCCGTGCTTCTCGATGCCGTGTCTCCCGGTGCACACGCAGTGCGTCAGCCCGGTTGGTGCAGTACTCACACTCGGAACACTGGTATGGCTTCAGTCCTAAAGGCAGGGAATAAATCACCATCGAAGGGGGGACAGACAAGGCTCAATGGGTCATAAGAGTCACTGTTGATACATACTGGGATATAAACGACAGAAGTGGCAAGTTAATGACCATTATCTTTGGAATGTTCCAGTCTTGACATTCTTTCAACACATTCTTTGAATACATGGAAGCCCAATGATACCGATAACTAACTGGACCTCTAACCAACTAGCCATCTGATAGTAATGAGTATCAAATATGGTAGGTTATCAAATGGGAAAGTCCAGCCCTCTTTTGGTCACAGAATTTGAAAACACACTTAAACACAGTTCCTTGTTCAACTCAAAAAGTCAAAGAAAATGTTTAAGAGGGAAGAGGTAAAAATGAAAGAAGCATCATTCATAGAAGCAGAGGGTCTTGAAATGCACCTGATCAATTCCTCCACATATGGGGGAACCATATGCAATAATCAAAGGCAATCATTAACCTTTTTCAGAGAACCACATCAGCACAAAGGAGCCCTCCTCTTTCTCCTTCTTATTTGTGATAGTTCCATCATATCTGTATACAATCAGGTAGACCTGTCCTCAATCACTCAAGTTTGAGTTGGGGTTCTCTATGGGGGGGGTGTGACCTTACACCACAATCCCTGAGAAATCTGCCAAGTACAGATGCCCAGACTCTCAGGTTTACTCTGTCCTATTTCTGACAGGTATTCAGTGTGTACCATTCCGGTACACACACTCCCAGCCTACCTGAACCCTCAGTATAAAAATCAATGATGGCCCTGAATCTGGGCAAGGACATACACCACCTCGGTGAAGTCAAGTTTGATAGTGAATGGGAGAATCCTTTAACCCAAATCACAGACTCACCTGTGTGCTTGGTCATGTGATACTTGAGCTGGTTGACCCACTTGCACTTGTAGCCACATTCAGGACACAGGTACTTCCGTTCCTCCTTGTGTATCCGCATATGGTACTACAAGAGGGAAGAGCAAAAAGCAGAACATGTGCTCCCCTTGGCACTCACTGGATATAGAAGCGGGGACAAGTAGGCAGAGAAACCATTGGTGGATAACCCTGCTCCTTAATCTCATCTCATCTCTACTTCCCTTACCAACTGGGTCCCTCATAATGGTCACTTTGTTATCAACCTTACCTATTCAGTCCCTCTCTAGGCTTTCCCTGACTATCTCAGTTCTGACACTGACAGTCACTGGGTGAGCTAACCCATAATTCTCAGTCTACTAATCTGTAAGATGGGGAATAGAATAAGTATCTATATCTCTTTATTTTTGAAAAGATTAAAATCATGGTACTAGGCATTATAGTAACTGCTCATAAATGTTAGCGTTATTATCCAGATTATCCTCCCCAATTTTTTTTTTTTTTTTTTGTGGGGGGATCCTGGGCAGTTTACCACTGAGCTACATGTCCAGTCCTTTTTATTGAGATAAGGTCTTGCTAAATTCCAGAGGCTGATCTTGAACTTGTGATCCTCCTGCTTCAGACTCCCAGGTTGGTGGGATTACAGGTGTGCACTACCATGCACATATAAATTATTATGTCTTTATCACAAGGCAAGTCCTTGTTCTTCTTAAGCATGTATTAAAGATTATATTTTTTATTTATTTTTTAGTTATAGGTGGACACATATCTTTATTTATTTTTAAATATTTATTTTTAGAAGTAGTTAAATACAATACCTTTATTTTATTTTTTTATTTTTATGTGGTGCTGAGGATCAAACCCAGTGCCTCCTGCGTGCTAGTCGAGTGCTTTCCCTTTGAGCCACAATCCCAGCCCCAAGAATTGTATTATTATATGACCCCATGAAGTTGGTAAATATTATTTCTTTTTTATAGATGGGGAGTCTGAGCCTTAAAGAGGATAAGGAACTTGTCCAATCACAGATCTAATATTTGGAAGGGTCAGGATTAAAGAAACTAGAGCCTGCATTCCTTCCATTCCCTGTCCCATAGCCCAGATCTTACCTTGAGGCGAGAGGGGTCAGCACAGGCATATGGGCAGAGGTGACAGCGGTAAGGCTTTTCCCCAGTGTGGATGCGGCTGTGCCATGTGATCTTCTGCCGGTTCTTGGTGCTATAAGCACAGTCAGTACACTTGTAGAGCCGAGTGCCCCCATGCCCTTTCACATGGTGATCTAGCACGAGCTGATGGCGACATGCAAAGTCACAAAAGGGGCAGCGCAGAGGGGGCTGGCCAGCATCCCCATTCGAGGCTGCTGGTGCAGCTGAAGTCTCTTCATGCTGTTCTAGGTAGTGCTTCACCAGACCTGCTCGCTCCCGGGCAGCAAAGTCACAGAGTTGGCAGCGGTGGCTGAAATGCTGCTGCCTCCGGTGCTCTTCCAGGGCTGGCCGGCTAGGGAAGGCCTCCTGGCAGGCCCCACATTCCAGCCGTGGGTGCTGCTTACGGGTGTGTCCCCGCAGGCTTGCGAGGTTGGGGCACAGCAGGCCACAGCGGGAGCAGTTTAGGGGCCCCTCAGTGGCCTCTGCAGGAGAGCCAGGAGCAGGGTTTAGGGGTTCAGGGTGTCGGCGCAGAGCATGCTGCTTAAGTGCTGTCTCTGAGCTGAATTGGGCCTCACACTGGGAGCAGGCAAAGGCTGGGGTGCCCTGGTGGCAGCTGTTGACATGGCGAGTGATGTCATGGCGAAGATAGCCACTATAGTCACAGAGTGGACAGAAGTGGGTGGGTGTTTTGTCATGTACCCTTAACCGGTGCAGGCGCAGTTTCGAGTTGGTGCCAAATGTCTGAGGGCAGGAGCTGCAGGGGATACGGCCAACACCTGTGTGTCTGGACTGGTGAGCCTCTAATCGGTACCGTCTGGTGGTAGAAAAGTCACAGAAGGGACACTGGTGTGGCTTCACCCCTTCATGCTTGAGTTGCCGATGCTGCTGCAGGCACCGATTCTGTTTACAGGTGAAGCCACAGTCCCCACACTGCAGGGGAGGCCGGGGGCCACGGGTTGAGATTGTAGTAGGGTGTCTCCGTTTCTGGTGGAGTCTCAGGGCAGCAGCAGCAGGAGCAATGAATGGACAGAGGCCACAGTGCAGCTCTCCAGACATCCCAAGGGGGCAGCCCTTAGTCTGATGAGTCCTCAGGGCCCGTTCCTGCTGGCAGCGAAAAGGACATGTGGGGCAGGAGAAGAGTGCCCCCTTCTGCTTCTGAGTCAGAGTTGTGTCCCCATTACTAGGGCTGGACTGTGTATTCCTATTACTCAGGGGAGTAGAATTCTCATTGTTCTGTAGGGAAAGAGAAGGCTGGGTTTGAGGCAAACCTCGCTTTCCTCCCCGGCCACGTCCCCCTCGGCAGCCTTCAGCCACATGAGAGGTAATAGAGGAGAGTCGAGAACAAAGGAACATGCATGAGTTGCAGCGAAATTTGCCCTGCTCAAAGTAGAAC